ATTTTTTTAAGGTCAATTTTGGGCATGAAATCCAAGACTAATAGCCAAGACTCTTAGCACCAGTTGAGCCTCATTTTTTATAGAAGATTTCATAAGAAGTGAACTTTTTTGAAAGACTAATATCATAAAACGATTTCGAACAAAATATCAATTTTTTGACCAGGAAATGACAAGTCTCTTCGACAAATGAAGTTTCTGGTACACCATCCGTGGTACAAAACCCAATAGTACAAAAGGAGTTTACCGATTGAAGGGTCCAACACAATATTTTATTAAACTTTAACTACAAAAACCCATATCAAATTGAAAGATGCAACTAAGATTCGATCACCATCTCTCTCATTCACTAACACAAAGTATTCAATCTCACAAGGAGAAAATCAGAGAAAAAAAAATTTCAACTGGAGACTCGAAAGAAGACGAACGAGAGAGGAGAGAATTTTTGGAAGCACAAAGCAAGAAACAACAATCATAGATATGACCTAATGGGGCAACTAAAGGTTAGATTTTCAGCCATTGATCTTATTTTTTATCCGAATAAGATCCAACTCTACAGGACATCCAACTCTACAGGACATCTCAAAATTCAAACTGACATTGAGTAGCATTAAAAACGCTTTTCTCGATATGTAAATGGGTCCAAGTTTTGGATGAGTCAATTTATCGAGCAATTGTAATAGAGAAATTGGGTGAGCAGCCCATATTATCATTGCCCCCACCAGACCAGTTGGCATCACTACCCAACATAAAACAATCATCATATCACAATTCTCCCTCCCCCTCTCTCTCCCTCTCTCTCTCTCTCTCTCTCTCTCTCCAGAATTTTGAGAATCCCACTGGTGCACCCAACATGTATCCTGTATACATGATGGAATCCTCTGCAAAAAGCTCATCTTCAAACCAAAAAAACTTCATTTCTCTGCCCGCCTGCAAGAAAAGCACACTGGAGCAGCAATACAATCATCAAGAAATTCCTAAACAGACATTATTTGAGAAACCATTGACTCCAAGTGATGTGGGCAGGCTCAACCGTCTTGTTATACCAAAACAACATGCTAAAAAGTACTTTTCCCTAAACGGCTGCAGAGAAAAAGGGTTGCTCCTATGCTTTGAGGATGAGTTGGGAAAATATTGGAGGTTTCGATTTTCTTATTGGAACAGTAGCCAAAGCTATGTCTTGACAAAAGGTTGGAGCCATTTCGTTAAGGAAAAGAGGCTTGATGCAGGAGATATTGTTATTTTCGAGCGCCACCGGGTGGAAGGTCGCCGGCTTTTCATTAGGTGGAGACGGAGAAACATTTACGGTGGCGCGGTCCAAGAATCTTATGTTGCTCAGCCGGCTGCGGTGGCTTCTGGTGGCAGTGACGAGTGGAGACATTCTGGTTACCCTTATCCAGTGCATTCTCAAGGGTCTTCTCTCCCATATCAACCCGACTGTTTTCGTGCAGGTTTTTAGGCACTATTACATTACACCAAATCCTATCTTCTTTTCGTTTTTTCTTAGGATATCAAATATTATACGTAAGTTGCAAAGTAAATACACTCACACGGACACATGCTACATATAACCTTTTTCTCGTAACTAAAAACACGCTCTCACACTACATAAAGTAAAATAAAACGTACTTTGTTCAGAGAATGATTATAATGAAAAACTAAAGAACTACTCAGCATACGTCATAGTCATACTTCTTGTCATCATGCAAAAGTACTCTAATCTCCATCATGCTCTTAGTCATTTTCTTTCTCGCATAAATTTATTACCCATATTCCATAACTTCATCATCGTCTACATGAAAGTAACCAAAAGCATCACCATCTTATTCACTTGTCATTGGGTAGAAAGCCAATGCTCGTGATATGATATTTGCACCACACCTTTTCATGTCCTAACCCATATTTTTTAAATAATTTTATATTAATTGTTTGATCCATTTTTTTCGACGGACGAAGTTAAGGATAAACCTGCTCCATCAATGTTACAAAGCCACCTCCAACATATTGCTCAGATGCACTTAGGGACATTCTTACCTTGACTCCCACAAGATAGCTCTGTTGTGTGCGCATCCATTGTCCTTCTTGCGTCCAATGAAATGTATGATTTTGATAAAATTGTGCATTGCACGAAATGTATGATCGAAAATAAGTTTAAAAAAAATTGAGTTTTGGAAAATAGAAATCAAAGATGGACTTAATTTAGGACATTGATATATGTACATTAAATCTTACATAATGAATTACATAATGCACATGACACTTTATCATTTGACAATCTAAAAATAATCAACTTTGTCATTCAATTATTTAACTGCACATCATTTTCTGCACACTTTTGAGATGTCCTTTTCTAAACAAATAGCATAATCCCTTTAATTTATTGTAGCGTGTAGAATAGAATGAATTGCTAATGTGTTTCTGTTGCAGGATCAGTTTTACAGAGCCAAAGTACACCAAATGGGAACTCCAAGACGTTGAGATTGTTTGGGGTGAATGTTGAGTGCCATGCAGATGAGTCCAGCCAGCCGCCCACGCCTGATGATTTGCCCATGTCGAGCGAGGGTCAAGCCCACATATGTCATTTGTAGGATAAAAATTAGTTGGAGTAACTATTAATGTATGATAATAGAATGTTAAAAAGAAAACTTATCCATCGAAACTCTTGGCTACACGATGTCTTAAATTGAAATTGTACGTTGTTAACTGCTTCGATCTCTTTAAAAAATTACTCCTAGTATACAACAATCGAATCAGTGGTACAATAATCCCCTAAAAATAAAAAAATAATAAAAAAATTCAGATCTCTCACCATTGCTATAATTTAATTATATTTTTTTTAAATAATATATTTGACCAAAATAACAAGGAAAAGAATATTTTCAGGCGTATCTAACATGATCTAATAAACACGTTATAGCCTTAAGGGGGTCCCCCTCAAAAGAAAAATCTTGCGCTGGAGGAGTCGTGAGAAATTAGGAAAGTTGTTGGCATGCATTTTTGTGTGGTGGCTAAGTGTGCCATGCTTTTTATAAGAAATATATGAATATCATTTATTATTATATTTAGCAATCCTTCAGAAATGTGTCGTACAAGTTTGGCTCGTGGTCCAATCCACTGTACAAACACTAAAGATTTAATTCAACAATCAGAATAATCACTTATTCCCAAAACCGTTAACAGGGTCGTGTCCAATAGTTTGTCAAATAATCACGTATGTAAGCTTAAATAGTGCAAAGTTTTGCTAGCTACCAGAATAGTTTAGAACCAAACAAGATCTCCCTAAGTTTGCCCATGCTCAAAAAAATTGCTTATAAGTAAATAATTATGTTTTATTAGTTAAAGTTAAAAATAAGTCAGATCGTTCAAGTAATTTTTCACTTAAAAAAGTTATATTCAACTATAATATTTAGCCCCCCTTCAACAACCATTCTTTCAAAATTCTCTTTTTTCGCATATTTATTTTCAACCACACATTCTCACAATAAAATATTTATCACATAAACCCAAAATTTCTCCTAATTTTTTAACATACATTCTCCAAAAAATTTACTATTTAAAGACTCATTCTTTACCACCCAAGGGATGGGGCTGTCAAACAAGGACTTAATTTAAAATTATTATAAAGTGAAAGAGTTTAATTATTTATATTTTATATTTGTTAAGTTTCAAAACTAAACCATGACACACAGATAATTTCACTAATTGCTACTGAATCTGGTTGGAACAGTATAACTATATTTTTGAGGATATTATTATTAAATATTAATCTGGTTGGCACCGGAATGATGTTCAGGCAAATATGAATGAATAGCCTCTGTTCGAAAAGTTCATTTGTAACTTCTTAAGAAGAATAGTGATTGGATAACGAAATGTGAAAATAATAATAAGTCATTTGAATAAGTAACTGAAATTATAATTTAACTGAATAGTAAAAGTAACTTTTAATGTAATTAAAATGTTTCCAAATGCGGCAGCCGGACTTCGATCTGGTAAACTGTATGAAAAAAATAAAATAATAATAAATAAATCCACTAGCTTTGAGACATGAATATTTTAATATGAACATTGCGCATCGTCCTTCAATGTCAGGTAAAAGTAGAATAGTGCACACGGCAAGAAGGATGAACCAAGAGAATTTCATTCTTGAAGATAAGAACAAGATCAGATGGGTCCATTAATATATTTTCTTCTTATGACAATACTTACCATATCTTAATTTGCAGAATAAACCAAACATAAATGATGACTAAAGAATCGCCAAACATGTAGCAAAATTCGTTTTATCCTATCAACAATTCCGCAAGACCTTAAGCATTAACAGGAGCAGACTTCATCTTAACAAGAGAATGAATCACTAAGTTGGAATTATCGTTGAGTAATTAGCCCAAAATTCATACAAGTAATCATCATGCTCCTCATTACCATCGTTGATCATGAATATACCAATTTAGGTTGTAGATAAACCAAGCAAAATCAATTATACCTAAAAGAATTGATCTTGGCTTTTCCACAACTTAGATCACTTTGCTCTCCATACTTTTCCATTATAACTGAACGTCCACTAATTTATCAGAATTAGGATAAAACACTTCATTACAACTAGGTCATTGGACCATTACACAAAACATTTAAAACATATTATTTACAAATTTGAAAAACAGTATATTAAATACTTACGGTACTTTAAAAATAAGTAAACCGAGTTGATCAAATCTTGAATACCTTTGCATGAACTTATTCCACTAAACTACGTCCATTTCTAAGGTAGTCAAACGAACGGAAGGTGTAAAGGAAAACGTTAACCATGTAAACACCATATATTTAAGCGAATTTATGGAAGACCATAAAGGAGGCAATGCAGCGAGTACATACCCGGAGTGCAAGAAACCCGGAATGAACTTCTATAAGCCAAACTGTGAAACTAGATTCAGAACAAAATTGATGTGTGAATGTGGGTTATTGCTCTGGACTTTCGTTGGGATTCACCTCGTCTTCCATTTCCTTTACTTTCTCAAGCTCCCTCAAGAGATCTAACCTTTCAGGTCCGTAAGTGGAAGGTATCTGCCAGAGAACAGATCAAATATGGTCACAGGTTGGACATCATGGAGGAAAATAAACAATTAGCTCAGGGGGATCAACTTTTACACACCAGTGATGGTACATATCGTTGAATTGCAGCCAATATAGCAGCATGCCCTACTGCAGTAACCTGCAAGATGTATAAAATGCAGCAATGTCAGTAAGCACTCATCAAGTTCTAGGTGGCTTTGTCTATGGTCATGTAAAATCCCATTTTGCTGTAAGTGTGAGCAAACCATTTTTCTCATATGACAAGAAGCCTGCTTAATACCGATTTAATTGGCAAAGATGAAGTCCTGAGGTTAAGGTAATAACATTTTGATTGACGTACAGGTCAAAGGACATCATATTAGACCATATAGTTGTCAATGTTTATCTTTTTGTTTTCCTTTCCTGTCCATCCAAAAGGAACATTCCTTGATAATAACTTGTGAATCTCGTGCAATGTTCAGATGGAAAGCAAAGCAGTCAATTAGCACGTAATTACAAGAAAAAGGAAGATGATGAAAAGGTGAAATATTTTTAGCACAGAAAGCATAATCGAATATGTGAGGAGTGAATTTTGATTACAATAAAATTTCACTCATATAATTGACTCAAATTCTACAAGAATCTCCCTTAGGCAAGCTGTGTCACCAATACACATAATTCAAGATAAGAACGTTAGGGCTTACTGGAAGCAGCATGAGAAAGCCAATTGGAACTACTGAAGCCAAGTCAGTTAATGTTCTTTGGAGAGATTGTTTTTCTTTCTCCGTTAATTCATCCCCCATTAGAACCCTCCTTAGCAGTCCCATAGCAGCGCCAGTGTCAATGGCTAGAAGCTGGGTGCCTTGCCATACATCCTGCTTATGAAAATCAAAACTTTCAATGAGAGATTGAAAGTTAGCACACGGAGGAATAATAAACTATCCCTTACTTTGGCAAGCAAATAAACTTCAGGATAACACGCTCCTTGTATGAGATGTGGATTTGCTACCTTAAAGTATACTAATATTTAGATTTTGCAGTAAATATATTTTTGTTACTTGCTTCACATTCCAGTACGAACTTGGCTTGAAAGTGATTTACTAGAAGAGTAACTACAAACTCAAAAATCCAAAACCCTTTAGAAAGGTCCATAAAATTCAAAGATGGTAAGAGAGACAGAGACAAAAGAGATTCCTTCCATTGGGCTTGAGCAAATACTGTCTTTGCAGAAACATCGCATATAGAAATCCAGAAAAGTTCGAAAGTGTATACATCTCCGTAGGAGCATTCATATCCTTTTTCCATATATGGTTCCTTCTATTGATAAGTTTTTATCTTCAAAAATATGTGATATATAAGTCCAAAACGTTGCCACATTATTATCCCGGTTTCTCACTTCCACCTCAGTATTACAGTTATTAAGTTTTCGGATTGATTGATATAAGGGGTTGTTATACGAAGCTTTTGATAGAAGTTGTAGCAAATTTTGATAAAACTTGATGTAATGAGTGGGTGAAAAGTTGATAAAAGTTGTGGATCCCACAAAATATGTTGTTAAAATTGAAGTTTGACCAGTTGAAAAGTTCAATAAAATTTTAGCAAAAGTTTTATCAACCAAGCATAAGTTTCTTACTTTTAGAATGCAAAATAGGAAACTGCATGCCATAATTAACTACCTCAAAACCTTAATATAGAATTGATTGATGCATGAAACTTATGTAACATAATCAAATTAAATATATTTTGGGTAAACACAAATGCATAGTAGCATTATTGTAACTGTGAGTAATTTTTTTTGAAAGGTGTAGCATTATTGTAACTGTAAGTAATGCAAAGGATATACTTCTGAACATGTACCAACCTAGTAGGGAAGTACTTAAACTACGGAGATGCAACATCAGTGTAGATTCATTAGAAAATGCTGATGTGAAATTAGAAAAAGAATAGAATAATGATGGTATTCGTATTTCTACATTTTCTCACTTCAATTCAATTTGTTCTAAATGATAAAAATCCTAAGAAAATATATGAATTAATAAAAAATAAATATATGCATTAACTTTGAATAAAAAGTATTGATTTCAAATTATAAGCCCAAATCCATTGTCCTGGCATGGCCCTCAATGGACTTTATCTATGGACCATCGTGGCAATCAAGCATATTAGGACCATGATATGACCCAACATCGACAGATTAAATGTGGGGCTGCCATGCAGTTAACACCTCTATCTATCTATATTATACACCAATAAAGAGGGGTATAACATTTGTACCGTGCTTGTTTCTTTCAGCTTATCCAATGATTTCTCAATTACAGTTTCTTTCTTCTGAACCTGAACCAATTGAGCACCTTTAGCTTCATTACTGTACCTCATAACATTATCTCTCGTCTGAATTTCTTCCTGGATGAAATGCAATGGATAAATCTCATTAAAACAAGCAGGTATTTAACACCTATATAAGTAGAGAGAAAATTTGACAACTAGAAAGTCGAACACATGAACTCAGTTATGCTTGCCGATTATATCTTTCTAAAAAGAAGTCGCTTCTTGCAATTGTTCTCACCAAAAAGCATATCATGAACTTCAAAATCAATTTTAACTTATTTCATTGATATCTGCACATTTTTTCAAGAATATAAATGGACTTGAAACATTTAAGGGAAATATTGTAACAATAATTTAAAATAGGCAAGGTTGCCACAAGGAGTAAAAGAGAAAAACACTTGCTCTTCAATAAATCAAGAGCTTGTTCGATGTAAATTTTGTGAATTGGAGAATGTGCGGTTAAAAAATAGAAAAAGTTAAGTGCCTGTGTGCAAAATTATTTTACTCGAAGAATATATGGTTAAAAATGAATTCAGGGAAACATGAGTTTTAAAGAATCTCTACCAAACAAAGGCTAAATTTGAGCAGAGATGTGGATGCCTAACTACTATCAGCTAAAAAGGTTTATATAGCATTATCACATGAAATCCATTAATCTTTCAAGCTTGAAAGGGAGACCTAATTATCGGTAAAGGGGCCTGAATAAACTGGCAGATTTAAGGCCCTGGTTTCTGGGACCAAGAAGTCTCAAGTTCTAAATCCCGCCATTTTGTAGGTTACATGTTGGTTTCTGTACCAGTATGTGAGTATATTGTATTTGATATTGGAAAATGGAAAAGAAACAGAAAATAAAACTCAAGGTCTTTATTTTATTTTATGAACCTAAAAGAAATGACATCTGTTGCACAAACATTGTAATGATTATTGTCTATATTTATACCAGAGAATTATAATTCCCCGCCATAGTCTAGCACGGTGTGTGATTTGCAGTACAGGACAGCTAGATGGACACTGATGTCTCATAAGAACTCCACGTCCACACAGAGAATCTTCACACAATATCTCGCCAGTCCAAATGCCCGATTAAGGTTTCTCTAACAATATCCAACTATATATGGGTGCACTATAACAAAAGTACATGGCTATCAAGCTTGGTGGAGCAAAGTCAAACAATAACAACAAAAGTACAAACTTCATAATATTTGTTTAACTACCTCACCTAGAGTTTAAGCTTTTAGAGAAGACACATATTTATTAATCTTCAAAAAGCTCAGATTCCATTTTTTGTTCAAATGCACAATTATTATTAAGGATAGCTGTGAGACTTGAACCCACGCCTAATGTCCCCTATTGAACTAAAAGCTTAAGCTTGGACATGTTTATTTATTTAAATTTAGTCTTCAACAGTGTCATCCATGTGCTCTTACACAGCTACAGAAAGTAATAAAACTTAACCAATCCAAGTTGAGACCACATACAAATGAGTCCTTATCTGAACCATATAATGAGGATGACGTGGTTTATGCAAAATTATTCGTTAGTATAAAAGATGATGGCTTATTTACTGTTTGTTCGGCCATTTCCAAGCATTTAGTCGAGTTCCACATCCTTGTGAACAGTCATGCAATGTTTTTCAAAAAAAGAAAATAAGGAAAATAAATGACCCATGGAAGAAAGATAGTTGTCTATCGAGTTTAACTGGTCCTAAATGATCCTCATGATCATTTAACCCTACATTTGTATTCTTACTCTTGATTGCACACAGTAAAACCAAGACAGAAGAAGGCTTACTCATTAAGAAAAATGAATCCAGTCATCATCGCAAAAGAGAGGAGAAATGGGGCCTAAAATATGAGGCATAATTCTTGAAGCAGTCACTATAAACCTAATAGAGGGTCAAGATGTACCTCATCATATTCATACTGATCAGTGCTCTTTTGAACTCGTTTCTCCAGTTCTATTAGTTCACTCCTTAAGAGTTCAAAACGTTGAATTTCATTGGATTCCGAGTCAACAATTTCCTTGCCCACAATTTCCTGTTCATGGTATCCACCATCCTGCAAAGAGACCACCAAAAACCCCAAAAATAAAAAAAATATAAAAAAATTAAAAAAAAAAAATAATAATAATAATAATAATAATGAAAAAAAATAAAAATTAACCACTCATAACTCAAGGCAGAAAATCTTTGACAGCGTACAAAAATCTGAATTTTCCTAACAAATTCAGTAAATTAGCAAAATTTCATTGTCACCAGAAAGATACGGTCGAGTACATCAAAATATCACTCCTTTAGCACAATCAGTAACGCATAATGAGAACATAAATTTCATATTTCCAAATTGATACAGCATTATTTTCCCATCCAAATTTGACAGAAAGTCGGACAATAGATATATGTGAATTAAAATAAATGCCATCAATTTAAGCCCAATTAGATTTAAGGCAGTAAAATATAAATTGCAGATAGTATCAAAGCAACTTCGCACATCAATATCTAAGGTTAAACCTAGTCTTCAGGGACAATAAGTGATCAGACCAGATACATAAGTCAGTTTTGAGTCAGATAAACATTATGATATCTCTAAGTTTGAACTTACAGCAGCTTTCAAAAGTTTGAAGGAAGATCAATGGAAGGAAAATAGTAATTTGAGCAATGGACGACCAGAAGCTGCACTGTAAATAACTACTAAATTTGGCACAAAGCACGAAAATAACCATAAAACAATATCCACAGATTAAATAGCACATCAATATCACATTCTTGTGCCCTCTATGAGGAAAACTTGCAGAAGGCAAACAAATGAATATACAAGTAGAGGAACAGCTATAGAGTCCATTGAATGCCATACATTTTCAATTGCAGTTGATGAACCAGCATCAGATGCTTTTCCTGGGCTGTAAGCTAAAATATTCCATAATCCATGAGGATTGCGTATCCTAAAAGGAAGGTATTTATCAGCAAAATGAAAGAAATTGAAGTAAACAACAAATCAACATAAAGAAACAACATATAGTGATGAACAGCAAAACGAGGTAAGAGCTTGAAAACATCTGAGAAGCCTTAGTACCTGCTGCTCCTATCCATTTTCATATTAGCACTTTTGCTGCCTTGTCCTCTAGAATATTGATGTTGCTCACTAATTGGAGAGGTTGAACTACTGACATCATCTCCCTAGTAGCTCAAACAGAAACCAAATCAGAAGCAAATAAATTGAAAATCATATATGTTCATGTCATCATAATAAGGCACAGATGATACATGGATCTGAAGACTCTACGTAATTAACACGAATTTTATGATTGATTGCTCCCACTTGGGAGAAACTTAAAACTAATACTGCATTGCACTTGGGTGAGTCATCTCAGTAGCCTGTTCTGCTATACATGATAGATATCATAAATATGCCAATGGTTCTACAGGCTACAGGTTATGCATAAATTGCAGCTTGAGAACCCCTAAATTCGATAGAGAATTTTTTCCAAGAGAGTTAAATGCGTGCTCCAACAAACAACCATGAGCAGAGCAATGATGCCTTAATCTATTAAGGTCTGTTTTTATTCTGATTTCATTTTCTTGTTTTCCCTGTTTAATGCCAAAATTATTTCTTCGTATGGTTTCAAAACATTGATCTAATACGTTTATTTCTGGACAAAAATGACATTCCGATTGTCTCCTTTTAGGTGTGAATAATTTTGTAAGGTTGATAGTTGGAGGAGTTTAATTAATTTGAGCTCTATAATGGTAGCTCATCCTCAGACATAAATATGAATAATTATCAACATTGCTGACATACTTAGGTGTATAGAGACAAATCATGGAACTGATGAAAATGGACATAAGAGTAGTCTAAGACAGATTTCAATATAGAGATTCTTCTTTATGCTGAAGTGAGAGTCAAGGCTCTCTGCATTTTGTTTTCACCAACGAATCCCCTTTTCTTTTCCTCCCCTATTCCAGCATGACATGCGAAGCTAAGGCTGACCACGTCCATCATGACTTAGAACTCAAGATCTTTATCTATGTTGAAACCGTGTTGAAGCACTTCATCTAAAAGCTCTAGTTATTAGTGAGGGGACAATTTTTTGTCTTCAACATCAAAGATATAATTGATATAAAATCTAATGACCATCAGAAAGAAACATTAGACTGCTCCATCGTCCCATCGCCATCCTACAAACATCCTTCTCTCTCGGTCTACTATGTAAGTTATCTATGCTTTAGCACTTCCCAATTTGATGTAGTATAACTACCAATAAGAATGAAAATGAAACAGTAGAATTTATATCCCTAACTTGTACAGAGGCTGGCACACCCACATTGGAAATGACTATCAATGCTTACTTACTAGTTAAAAAATGAGGGAACATCGAGAAAGAAAAATCTAAAAAGATCAGATACAGATAAAAATTTCCAAGAATTTAATGTTAAACATATTCCAACCTGGATTTATATTTGCAGATGAAGATGAAAATAGATCTAGCAATGCAAAGGGAAAGATAAACCAGTTTCTGTTTGTCTAGGTGTCACTCCACTTGTGGATTTTATTCTAGTGCTTTGAAACAAGTTACTTCTTTATCTTTATTTGTTTCCATGTGGAAACATAAAAAATAACAACAATACAAACAAGAGAAAAGACAAGAAAATCTTGATATCGTGTCACGTAAGAAATAGGGAAAAAAATCCTGGATATGTTATATAGATCAAGAAATAGCAACTCAGGCATTCCTTCTTTAAGAAAACAGAATGTATAAATCATAAATAAGAGTATAAACGGAATGTATAAATCATAAATAAGAGTACCAGTGACAGTTTTGAACTCCAATCTTAAGAAGAGTATCAGAGGCACATGCCGCTGAAAATAAAAAATATACCTGCTGAAGAGAAGCTGCCTTAGCTCTGAAAGATGCCTCGAGAAATTCAGCTTCTTTCTTTAGTCTTCTTATCCTTTCAAGGTCTGAACAGGCAGCTTTTATGTGATCCTTTCCAGAACTAGAGCTTTTCACATGCAGCTCCTGAAGCAAGTCTTCAAGCCGTAAAAGAGCTTCTTCAACACTCCCCAATGCCTAAAAGAAAATGTAAACGTCACTGTACCACTAGAAGGGTTTCAGTTATACCACAAAAGTAACCATGTGGATGGATGCCACTACATAATCAGTAAAGCAAAGATGTCGATAAAGAAAGTTATTCAATATGGAACACGGGAATTATCAAACCAGAAGTTAAAGAATGACAATTCCCATGATCTCATAAATGCAAAGAATTTGAAATATATGAAAGTTATTCGAGAAAACTCAAATTTCCTACTGAAACTAAAATTTCCTACCGTTTTTTTTAAACTAAAAATTTCCTACTGAAGTCTGCAGTCAACAAAACAAACAAACATCGTGTTTCAATATCTGGATGTTCACATAGAGTAAGAGATTATGTAGTCATGCATACAAAAGGAAACAGGTAGCAGGATTACTTTTTCACTAATCAGCTTATTATCTAACAACAGCCGATACCTTGCTGAATTGCATCAGCTGCATGATCTATAACTTACAGAACTTGCACTTGAAAAACTAATATTCCACCCAAAAGAAAACCCATTCCCAAATGCTTGTGTAGAAAGGGTATACAACATTCTAGAGAGATCATTTACTGCAGATGCAAATACCTTATCAAATGAATCCAACTCTTTCTCGAGTGGTAAATAATTTCCAGATCCAGTCCTGTCAAATAAATTAGAACATTAATTTTTATCTTCTGCATCAAAACTTTAAATCTGCTACTCACCGGTTTATCAATAGCAATTACTTTTTGCATGTGAAGACCAAGCTAGTCACATATAATGCTCAGATGAACCCTTAGCAAGAATAACATCCAATACCTGGAATCCTCCTAGCGTGCAGAGCACACTATTAACCTTTCTTGTCTCTTCCAATTAGAAAAAAATAAAATTCCACATTCACTGTCTTTTTGCCATTGGCCTCATATACAAAGTGGAGAAGACAACAATGGATCTAACCACTGGCCTTGTATGTAAAGAGGGGTTGCCCCCACGCTTGCAACAATAATCTTGTGGGCTAATCAGCCCAATATTGGAATTTGGACAATTGCTTAAGCAGTTGTTATTAACAAAATTAGTTTATTAAGTAAGCATTCACAAATCACACTAATGGTATGGGCATCAAGTACGTTACCAACTGTTACACCGCACCTCCGATGCAAATCTGAAGAGTCTATCTTCTCTCCACTCATATACAGTACAAAAGACAAAGATGACCCATAAATTTTAAGCGAAAGCTGCAAGGTTGATTACTAAAAGCCCAAAATTACCCAGTCCCAAAGCCTATTGATTTCTAATAATTGAAATGAAAGAAAAAGCAACAGAAAAAGAACAGTTTCACTTATGTAGTTCAAATTATTCTAGAATATAATGGACAGGTTAGAAATTATTCATAAGAACACATTTTAGCAGCTCACGGGAGTCCTTTCTTAAATCAAGAATATTCATCTGCTTTAAGTTGTAAGAAGGAAATAGTGAAGTAAAAAAAGAAGCCACACGGGAGAAGCTTTATGGTCTGTAGGCAAAATTTTACGAGAATCTCCAAACTAAAGCTTCACATCCTAAATTCAAAAAAAAATTTAAATGGATACGGCATTCTGAAATAAATCAAACATTCTGAAATTCTTTATATATCATTTAAGAGAACCTCATAAAAATTATATCTACAAAATGACAGTTATCAATCCAGGATAGTGATATTAAAGCTTATGAATCATGGAAGTAGTTAGTTTATGAAGAGTCCAACAAGCAAGGTTTTCCTTTATGAACATTTCCCCAGGGCAATCTTAACGTTTTCTGAGAGCTAAACCATAATTCAACAAAGATTATATAGAAATATACAATGGCTACCTTGGTCTAAACAACAGGGATTAACTCTAACATGTGATGTCTATTTTACATTCATCAATGCATCAAGAATTCCATATGATATTAGTCTCCAGTAAACAGAAAAATAGGCGTCCTGTTGGATACACACACAGACGTTATAAAAGGAGTTTAGAACATATATTTCCCTCCTTCAACTTACTTCTTTATCCCCAGTTCTTGCATGCACATTTTTAACTGGTCGTGCCTGAAAAGTGAACACCAAACCATATTTTTCAGAGCACAGATTATGGAACCTGAATAAATGACTTCAAAAATTTAAAGGTATAGTACCCTTTGGAAAGAAATTGAGCTGCCTTAACATTAGAGGGATTCTCCAGCCATTTGCTGTACTTAATAAAACTCTGGATCCAGTAAGAGCACACATCCAATACTAGACAAATCGCTTCAGTATTGGGTGGACCTTCTGTATTTTTGTGCCCAGGAGTGCGCTTGGAGGTACTGCTGCTGCCTGGATAGAAAGGAAGCCAGCCCAGTTCTTCACACACAACCTATCAAGCCAAAGGTTTGTCAATTTTTTCAACCATGTAAATTTTTCTAAGTACAACTTCACTTTTCATGCTAACCTCCACATACAGTTGATAAGCACTAATATATGAAAGCTGAGGATAATATAGTACACTGCCCCCAATTAGGTACCTGTATTGAGGAGATTATAGAGTATAGAAAATGACTTTAGCAATGAGTAAGAGAAAATGGGAAGCAACCACTTCATTACAAACCATACCGTATAAATCCTTTGATGGGCACATCAACAGTGTCAAAACCATTTACAGATAGGTAGAATTGTGTGCTTCTCCCTAAGGCAATGAAAAACCCAAATATAGCTAAATCCTTCTCCAAAACCTATAAGATATCAGAAAAACGTTCACGCAGAGCAATGAAATAACACATCAACTCTGTGCACAAGTAAAAAGCAATAGCAAACAGTAAGCTCTCTGATTCATAAGCAGTAATTGTTCCATAAGATTTAAGTGGAATCTCAACCCCTGTACTCATCAGCCTTTAAAGAAAGGTATAAATGAGGTTAATACCATCTAAATCGTTCTTCAAGCTATATTAGAGTGCACTGAATGCTGAAACCTTGAAAGCACATTTCAACAAGTTCAGAATGCCAAGGTAAATTCTGACAACAGGAGGCAGAAGTCATAATAAGCTCTCTAAATTTCAAGAAATTTTGGTAATATTTAGAGACTCTGTGCAAAACAGCATGAATGGAGAAAAGAAAAATGTTTATTACCATGGAAAACGCTAAATTTGAGTAAAATAGTTGTCCAATCACCAGCGGGTTAAACTAAGTTTAATAATATGAGCAAATAAATATTTTTTCATCAAGGAGTACTCATTGTAAAAAATCTAAGGATGCCATAATGTTTTGATAGATATTGTAACGACCCGGCTTCTGTCGCTGGCCGTTCTCTTGGGTACTGTCCACTTGGAGAGGGAATCTATCCTCTTACCCGTCCCGATTTTCTGTCGCATTCCCTACGATTTGAATTGGTGCAGGATTCAACTTAAGTCTCTTTCAAGGGGAGGTTATGTGTTCGAATCCTAAGGAACACGACAAAAAACTGTGACAGGTAAGAGGGTAGATATCCTCCCAAAGCGGACGGTACATAAGAGAATGGCCGGGCACGAGGCCTGGGTCGTTACAGGTGTTCCACGTGACAAATGGTTAAAAACTTGGGGCTTGATTCTAGTTCAAGCACCAATAAGGGTGTGTGCGTGCGCGATCGCACATGAATGTGTAGTGGATTCCTGGTGGTTTTCAGATCAATCAGATCTGCAAAACTGTAACACAAATAAAAAAGATTTCAGAGATAACCTCGATGCTTTCACATGTGGTGACTCTTGACCAAATTTTCTCCCGATCTATAGCTCGCCGTAGTTGTTTTTGTATAAGATCCACCCAAAACATAATCTCTTCTGTGCCCAGATCATTCTTGATTCTACATGCACCAACTCGAGGACCAAAATGGACGAGAAATTCTCTGCGTAAGCCAATTTCCTTTATTGAATGGTAAGCTTGGCGAATGGGAACAATTTCAACCAGCATGTCCATCAATCTGCCTGTTATGTCCAGAATAATGGAAAAAAATGGAGCACAAGAAACTTTTGCTGGGCCAAGTCTGGCAATTGCCGCTATGCAACTAAGTGCAAGCATGAGAACCGATATGTCACTTGGACTTCCAGAAACTGAGGACAGGCCTTTTCTGAATCTGAAAAAGAAAACCAGTGATTCTAATGGTGACACCTTAAAAATAAATGTCTGCATATGGATCTAAATTCGTGATTGTGCACATAATATTTAGGTAATTACTCACGTTTCAGTAGCAGTGGCAAAGCGCTGGTCCTTTTCAAGATAATCAACAAAGTTGGTCACTGCAACTGGGATTTGCTCTGACCAAAACCATTCATAAGCTTCCGGTAGCTTAGCTAATAACTTCTCTTTAATAATATTCTCCAGAGGAGCAAATTGCTGCGATAGACTACATCAACACCGCAGTAGAACAATTAGAAATATCTTTTAAAAATAATAGAATAAAAACTAAGTCTACCTGGTAAACCACTACTGAAGAACAGATTTGTTTAATGATACCTAACCAACAAAATGATATGTCTATTGAAGAACAGATATTAAAAGTAGAATGATGATAAACAACAATAGCCGAAAAATCTAAAAAGGATTCAGCTTATTCCAGTTCTTTAAAAATTTATTGAAACTAAAAGACTTAGGCTACATAGTCAAAAACAGAAGGGACTTCTACTCTTATCAACACTTGTTAGCAACCTTAAAGTTGCAATGGCATGCTAAACAATCTAAACTTTGGATGAGTCATTCATAGGCATTTAAGCTTCAGACGATATGTAACCTGCAACTACATCCTCCTGCTCTTGTTATCAGACCAACTTCTTTTCAAATAAACAAGCACGTGATAGTATTCCGAACAGGTTCCAACGAAACACTTTGCTTGCTCGAGCATCAAACAAAGCAACTGCTCTTCTAATGGTTGGAATAGTGTAATATTTAAACTTGTCTTGACCTTTTTATAAGACTTTGTTAGTGGGTCGGGGTTGATTATTATAGATTTTGAGTTCTCTCTGTTGTTTTAGGACAAAACCCAATATTAGAGTATGTTGAAGATAAAAATGATGAAAACAAGAAGAACTGTGTGTTTAGAAGTGAGCATGAAAGTTTGAAAGTGAATAGTCGATTCCTCAAAGGCCGGAGATGAAAAGAATATAAGAATCAGTTTGGAGCTAATTATTTTCGCTTGAGAGAAAGAATGACCCTCGCTACAATAAAATTACGCTCGAGTGAAATTAGCTTCAAGCAAAATCAGAAGAACAGAAAATCCAAGGCTTCAATACCTTTTTGCTCAACTGAAGCATCTCCCAGATGCGCACGAAGTTGTCCCAAATTCTCCTATAAAAATAGGTCTAGCTCAACTATCTTTGTCCTAGTGCACATTTGGTAAAAATAAATTAAAATTTAAGTGATTATAAACAATGGATCCACCGGAATATGTGGATAATAAGTGGGAGTAGTTGAATTTTCTCATCATTTGTCGCGACACAATTTTAAGCTTTATAGTTAAATACAACCATCCATCATCAAAATTTGATCATTAATTTAAAGTTAGGATTATATTTCATAACACAATCCTCGCGGCAATGACACTGGATTCATACACTTTATTAACGTACACTTGCGATTTCAAGCAAACAATGCACAGGCTACATTTTGCAGATGATAATTAAATTATTCAATCTATGGCAAAATTATGGCTCTCAGGATCAGCAATGTATGTGGCATCACCTGTCTCTCTACACAAGAACCTCAATCCACAAAGACTACCTCAAATCACTCTCTATAAAAATTCTTCAAGATAAAAGTAAATGCCATGTGTTAAGCATTAGTTCACCAGACAGTAATCGTGACAATCTATACAGAAATCAACTTCCAATAAAGAAAATTTAACAATGCTATTTTCGTTCTTGATTCCATGTACATACGTGTTGCCATGTATGACTATGATGCACCGACACGGACACGTGTGTCCGATACGATATGTGTCAAATACGCCGACACGTGATTTGTCAAAATAGTACCGACATGAAGCGTCGTCAACACACTGATTAAAATCTTTAAAAATCTTCATTTATATAGTAGAAATTTAGTTTTACACTTACTAATTTTTTTTGTGAAAATCTTTAAAATATGAGTACCTATTTGTTATTTACTAATAAATTTGAGTTAAAAATATATAATATTTTTTATAAACAATGAAAAATGCTTATAGTAGAGTGTCCGAGGAGTGTCGACATCGACACGTGTCGGACACGGATACACTACCCTAATTGAAGTGTCCGTGCTACAAAGATGTATTGAGACACTAGGCCACTATTACTACGAAAACCTTTATATAGACAGGAGCACAATAATAATAATAATAATAATAATAATAATAATAATAATAATACCAAGTCAAAGAATATTCCTCTTTTCACCATTTTCTCTTGTTTTATCATTTAACATCATCAAGGTGCATCAAAGTTTGACATTTTACACTATGCCTCCAAGCAAGAAACAAGTTACTGGTTGCCCAATGACCAAAGGGTGGAAAACCATATTGGAGAGGGTATTCTGTCAATGCAATTTCACATACAAGTGCCAAAATGCACTAACACAAAAATCATCTCTCCTTCAAAGCAAAAAAGGCTCCATACTCAAAAATATTGAAGCCAGGTTCAAATCTTGGAACACCTATAAAAGATTTTAATCCATTAGCCAAAAACCTATAGGGAATAAGATCAAGAGTCTCTCTCTCTCTCTCTCTCTATATATATATATATATATATATGAAAATGATCTAACGAGCACCGGTACTTAGCTTATGTTAAGCACCGACGACATGGCATACTATTTGATTGGTGAAAAAGTTAATGGTAAGTCACATAATTTTAATGATTCACCAATTAATTGTTGCGACATGTCATCGGTGCTTAACATAAGCAAAACACCGATGTCCATTAGATCATTTCCCTATACACACACGATATTAGAGAACATTTGAAATATACATACTACAATATACCTCTACAGATTAATACTTCATTATAAAATATAATTTCCCAATCCCAAATTGGACAAATGGGCTAAATTAATGCTCTATAAATTAATAAACCGTATCACAACATAATAAAATTTCTTGGTCTCAACCTTATTAATTTATAGAGATTATACTGCATTATTTCTGTTTTAATACATTTTAGGGGCATATACATAGAATCCTCTGCCACTTGGAGCTTTTATCAGTGTAATAATAAAATGTCAAAGGCGACGTCCTCAATGATTGGCAGGCTTAAGTAATAAACAGTATGTATGCATGTGTCAGTTATAGGTTTGTAACTGGCACCATGGACCAGGACTACACCCATATTTAGTGCTTTCATTAATATGAAGAGGCATATTTTTATACAACAGCAAATTGTAATAAAATCAAGTAAAAAACTATTCCTTATCTTTCATTCTTCCTCCACTTTCCTTATTTATCATCTCATTTGTATTAGTGTCCCAGCACAATTTAACAAGACTAGGTGCAACGTAGATAGCTTTTGTACAGATAGCTTTCCTACTTCATGTTAAGAGAAGGTCAATTCCATACATGAAACAAGTTGTTATTGTTTAAGTGCAGCAAACCAAACAAGAGAAAGTGGGCTGTAAGATACATGTTCAACCGCACTAACAGAAGAATAATATCTCCTATTACAGACAAATGCTCAATTATCCCAAGTGGATGATCTATTACATGGAAATTTCATCCACCTAACTTCCAAAGTGCACTTTTTTACAAATTAACTTCTCTTTTATTTCATGAGGGAAAGGAATGTAAAGCTACTATTTAATTCCCCCCTTCTGATGTTAAACAATTTCCTCAAGACTACAAGGAAAGACATCGCCGTTCACATGAGAGTTGGGTTGAAAAATTAAAACAAAAGGATCCTGTTTTGTGATTGCTAGCAGCCCTTTTTTGGGGGAATATTACCAAATAACAATGTTACCCCAGCAATAAAAATTCTGCTAGAGAAACTTGGATAGGTTGAGCAGAGTTAAAACTATTACCTTAATTCTTGACTTAATGGTGAGTTCACAATGTATATAACCACAAAGCATGGTATTTCTACTTTAGGTATTACAAATGAACATATTAAATGCTTGTATATACCTATCAAAAAAATAAATAAATAAATAAATAATAATAATAATAATAATAATAATAATAATTTAAATGCTTATATTGAAGCTACTGGTCTCTATATTGAAATAATGCTGATACCTCTTCTGCACAAAGACGATGACATCTCCATCTCTTCCATCTCCTCGAGAAGAAATCTCACTTGCCGCTTGTAGCAGGGAATAAACAGATGCCTGAAGAAATTTATAAATCATTAGCCACCTTAGAAAGAGTAAAACACAAGAAAATGAATAACAAGTGCACTCTGGACAAATTTCAAGAACTAATGCAATCTACGGATAAATATACTCCACCTTCATATATGATTACATACGAGTATAAAATCATATATTTATAAGGGAAAGATTTTGTCTTGCATGGAATTAGCAATACGATCAAATCAACAGTTACCATGCAGACACCAAGACCAAACCCAAACCCAAACATATTCCTATAAATATGTATTACACACGGCACTCACTCAATACACACTTTTACCTCTCTCACTTTTCTCTTTTCTTACACACATTGTCACGGTCACACAAAGTACTTTTGGTGTAATCAAATCATAGGAAAAAGTTGAGTTGTTTCAAGGAATTTCCACGCACATTATTAGTTTCAATCAAGGCAAGTGTGTAAAATAATTTTGTCCATGTTATTATTTTTGGGATAAAACTTACGAGTCCTATATGAATGCCAAAGAGAACCGGACTTTTGTAGCACTTTGCACGAGAAATCTCTACCACCTAAGATCAGTATTTTTTATTTTTATTTTTTTTTTAATTTTTTTGTGTCTCCTTCATGATTCATTTTTGAAAGTTTACAAGATTTACAAATTTACGGTCCACACTTATTAGTATTATCCCACCCCCACCTTTTCTCCCTTACGGAGTAACTAGCGGTTCGACGTGGTCAACGAAGGAGATGGCTAACGGGATTCATTAGATATGTTCAAGGAATAATTTTTCTGATTATAGTTTTAAGTGATTTTCATTTTGGACATTTCTTTTTTCTCTTTAAGTTGAGACTTATTGAACCTGCGACTTTGCTTATTAACGGTTTTTTAAACATTAGTCTTTTGCGTTGAAGATTCCATGCAAATTTTGCTTTATGTTACTTTGAACTCGTAGTAAGTTTTAGTAACACTAAGGAATGTACGCCCTTCTGTAAACCTAGAGTGAAGGGACAAAGAACTTCTCACAAAAAGACCACTTCGAGCAGACCATAGAGTAGTGCGACAAACAGGCAAGCACTCTCACTTAACTGACATTGCATTTAAGATTCGCCGATTTCAGGAAAGAGAATCGGTCTTACTTGTCCTACCAAGAAGAAGGTACAAAAGGAAGAAAGGTACGAAAGGATGGCATGCTCTGTCCCTTAGTGAAAGAGTGAAAGCTCAATCTCTAAGTGTGAAACTATGCTTTCAAAATATCCTAATGGTGTAACGCTGTCAACTTATTGGGAAAAAGAAAGAAGATAACTTTGGTCTCTTGTTTCAGAGAAATAAGTGGCTCACGAGGAATGGAAAGAAATATATTCCATTTTATTTCGAAGTCCTCATATAGCATTCACAACTACACTAAAGCAAACGAAAAAGGCTACTTGTTTTCCAACTTAATGAGTTGCAAATCTGTGACCAACCTGATAAGATAGTGCCTTAACCCAAGCAGCTTTGTCCACACCAAGCCACGGAGTCGAGAACCAGGAAATCTTTGAGAAAGACTTATGTTGTTTAATTGCCAGCTCAAATTCCCTTGCAGAATCATGTAATGACTGGACAAGACCAGCATTGTAGTCTTCACCTTGCAAAGACTGATTTAGCTTGAACCTCATTTCCTCAACATTACTGCCTGTGCTTGCTTGAGGACTTCCATTAACTGTCATGCTATCATCAGCAGAAGCACGAGGTAGTAGACGATCCATCCTTGTTAATCTACAAATGGATTGTTTCCTAAATTGAGGCAATCTGCAGATAAAACTCAGTTCACTGCTTTCAGGAAGGGAAAGCCTTACACGACTTTTCTTCCTAGTATAACAACGGTTGAATAGTAGGTGGTCCAAGCCAACCACCCTTCTATTAAAGAAATAAGTTTTTATTGGTTTAACTGCAACCAGTGAGCTTGAAGAGCTGCAAATAGATAAGTTAAAAAATGAGCATATGCACAGAATGAACCAAAAAGTGCTTGATAAGGAAACCTCTATCAGCAGTATGTACCCACTTGAACAAATGCCCATAAACAAGAAGCAATGCTTAATGATTCCTGAATGAAACATCCATCGCTGCATACTATTATTTAATAGCATTGAAATTGACTGACTCTCTCAACAGCCAGCAGATTAAAATTTATGTCTTGAAGCATTATTTTCTTGGATAAGGAACTAACTGGTCTAACTCCTTTGATTCCATTGGAAAGGGAAAAGATAATTGTACTATAATATATTACTTTGGACCAAGTCAATATGACAATTGGATTACCATGCAATACCCATATTCGACACTAATATGACAGTTAATCTGTGTCCAACCTTTTGGAAGAGGGCATAAGTCTCCAACACATTGAATAAGTACCAAAGAGGCAAAAACTAAACCACAACTACAGAAGAAGAAAACAGGAGGATGGGGTGTAACCCCTTCTCTCATGAGAAGCAACCAGGTTTATCATTTCTATGCAACAGAAAAAGAATGAATCACATTTATCGAAACTTAAATCTCAGGGTCATCAATCCACAAACTAGTAAAATTAATCGGTAGCTCAGAACGGAACCAATGATTAATATACTACACTGAGTTTCACTAGATTCTTATGTCAGTTTTTTCTATTATCATGTAGTGTTCACCAGATATCCAAACAATTTTTCTTAGAATTCTATATTGTTCTGTATAGGTTTAATTTACAGCCAGAATTTCACAGTCAAAACTCCTCATTATGCTTCTTCACATAGCTAACATCTGCTCTAGCATATTTGGGCTTTTGGTTTAAGGTTCATCAGATTATCATGCATCACAAGGAATTGCTTTGTTTACAAGGTATTTACGACTAATAGAAATAAAAAAAGGATTCTACAATTTTTGAATGTGCCTGGGAATTTGTTTCTGATAAAGAATTATTTTATTTGACATTGTATACTTGGTTTAATGCTGCGGCTACTACTCGTGTAGATAGGCTGCCCAATTTTACGTTGTTTATTTCCTGTATAAATCTGTGTATTATCCGTGATTAATAAAATATTTGATTACTTATCAAAAAAAAAAAAAAGGTATTGACTTGAATATGAGTGCTATGAAACCACTCCTTGTAGTAAGTTTGAGATGACTTGAAAATGAGTGCTATGAAACCACTCCTTGTAGTAAGTTTGAGATGACTTGAAAATGAGTGCTATGAAACCACTCCTTGTAGTAAGTTTGAGATGACTTGAAAATGAGTGCTATGAAACCACTCCTTGTAGTAAGTTTGAGATAGGCACAAAAAACATGCATTCGATTGCTAGGGAAACAAATAGCCACAAAAATTCCCCCTGCATTGTGCTTTCTATTTAGGGAATCAAGCGTCAACTTCCAAACCAAGTTCCTAATACCGATCATGACTATCATACTGCCAGCTCCATTTTTCTTCTTGTGTGATTTCCCACCTCACTGAGAAACTGCTGAAATTTTTTAAGCATCTTTCTCTATTGCCTTGGATATAATATCACCGACTACTGCTAATTCAAATGTTTTTTAAATATATCATTTAATTGTGCCAATAAGCTCGCTCTTCAGTTTAAAATCTACATGAAAAGTAATAAATCAGAATGTGTGATCAATTATTTGCCAACAATTTCTCAAACTAGACTAAACACAAGCGACATCAAATTTCATCCACGTAAAAAAGAATGAGAAAATATATAAGAAGTAAGCTGGATAGCTCTTATAGATTAATTGCATTACTATTTCTAAGCAGAAACATCTAAAACTTGATTAACAGTAAATTTTCACATCATTTATGTTTATGAACAAAGAAAAGAGAAAGAAAGAAAGAAAATCAATACTAAATTATCAAGACGGTAAAAAAGGAAACTAAAAATAATCTCAAATTGTGCGTATCCACACGGGGAGCAGAGAAAGTGAGAACAGAATTCACCTGCCGGAGACGAGATTCTGATGGTGCAGCTTAAGTGACATCGATGAGAGATTTTTGGCTGAAAAAAATCAGAGGAAAATTTTGCAAAATGTGTTTTGGTATTGAAAAAAAGGAATTGTGAAGAAGAAATGAGTAATAGCGTGAGAGAAGGGGTAAGGGGAAGCAAGAATGGGCGGAAGCTGACATGGCAGTGAGGGGTTTCTATCCGAAGACGTGGTGAAGTGTTTTATCACAAGTTAACTGGGGGCGTGCGGAGGATTCAGGGTCGTTTTCGGGCATTAATTAGTAATTTTTCAAAATGGCCTTGTAGTGCATGGTAAAAAGATTTGTTTAAAATTGACAAGCTCAAAGTCAACTATTAAATAACACTTATTTGAGCCACATTATTTTTCTTAGAATGAATTTTGGAATAGTATATTGACGGGAAATGTGTTGTTAAAAAATAAAAATAAAAAATTTTGAATTTGCGTGTAATATTATTTTATTAAAAAATATGTGGTTGAAATGATATCAAATCACTATTTAAAAATATATTTTTTTGAAAAAATGTGGCTCAAACATGGTGATAGTCAAAATTGATCTTTTTTTTTTAATCCCAATATTATCTTCTTCCAGTACTCTTCTTTGGATAGATTGATGGCAAGTTTCTTTTTCCAAAAAAAAATTTGAAAAAAATAAAAGGAGGAAGAAGAATAAGAATAAGAAGAAATAAAAATTCTCTTTATAGTTGTTCTCAACAATAATTACAGAGCGGACGAAAAGTGTCAAATGGATAGAATTGGGTTATGTCGGGCTTTCAAAATGGAATTGAACACCCTATATGCATATAGTAGGATTGAAGTCGAAGTATAAACGGATCAATCAATCAGGTTAAGTGCCACTTTTTATTGCACATTTTGAACCCACAAAACAAACTCCTAAAAGGTTCGGATAAAATCAGGTCTTCCTGTCATTTTTCTATTTTTCAACATTTAGAAGTTTATGATACGAATTCAAAATGAACACGTGTAAAAGATGCGTACTGTCTAAACTATTAAAATTAAAGGTATGTGTAATTTTGCTAATGATCACAAATATGTCATAAATTGCGTTTTTCACCATTAAAAGCATTATAGCATAACTATAAAAGAAAAAAAAAATAGCAAGAACAAATTGACAGCCTAGGCCTAGTATTCCCCTAGACCTCACAATTCCTCAAGGTAAGACTAATCATTCGAATATTGCAATAAATGTCAATCAATGAAAGCTAATATTAAAGAAATAAATAAAGACATTGCAACTTTAATTTTTGTCGTTTCATTGAGATATCATGCTGAAATATTTTGTTAAGCAACATTTACGCAATTGAGTTTGAGCAATCCAATCTAATTTTGCACCATTCGAGAATGAAGATTGTAAAATTAGGAGAGGATATGTGAGAATTTGAGAAAAAGAAAAATAGTGAAAGATAGGGAATTTATAGAAAATTTTTAATTTTAAAAAAGAAAATAATATAAGAGCTAATGTCCCTTTAAAGATGACCATTTGGCTTTTAAATTCTATTTAACCGAATAACAACTTTGTGCAAAGAGACATGTTTGTAACGATTCACAAATAGTTTTAAAATGTTAGATCCAATGAAATATATTATCGTTCATTTGAATAACTAATATAGTTTTCGCCTCACTGAAATCATCCAAGTTCTATAGTGTTGCCACATCTGTCACCGATCATTAAATGATGGCTTAACTAAGATCGAGAGGCAGTATAATTTATAAGAGCTGTGTTTATAACATGTAAATATATCACAAGTTGATCTTTCAAAATTTTCTACTTTATTTTGGCTCGTGTGATTGAATGCTCGAATGGCATGACCTATTTTCGAAGCTTGATTGTCCCAGCTTTGATCTTTTATGGCTTTGGTTGCTCAAAGATGGGTGGCCCGATCTATGTTGAC